GATAGCAGGATACTGGCCTCCAAGAGACCTCCCAAAGCCCCTTCCCACCTGAACTAGCCTCTGATCCTGCAACCTGCAGTACTCAGCCTAACCCACGCTGCTCATAGAGTATTAATCTGAAAGGATCACAAAATCTAGGATTTAAAAAATCATGAAAGCTTGTATTTAAAGTCTTTTTGCACCCAAACTTTCACCTTCAGTTCCTACTGGACTTGCATTCTGTGACCCCTGCCGTGGGAGACAATGTAGCTACTTGATATCAATGCATTTGGGGCATAAGATCAATTTGTTGGGCTCAAATCCTTTGAGAGATTAACTGGGGAAAATGTCCCTGAATGACAAAAAAAGTCTGTGGGGAACAGGGAGTGGCTGGGGAAAAAAAAATGAGTATGAAACGACTTCAAATGGGGACTTGAAGAAGAGTGTATGTTCCTCAGAGGGTGTTCATTTCTTCCAGATGTGACAAGTGGTCTAATAAAAGAAAGTGCCTTTCCTTGGAAGCCTTGCCTTGCTTATATCTCCAGTGAAAACTAACTGTTAAAGAGAGATAATACTTTGATTAATAATATTATATCATTTCATAGTGTCTGTTCTCCAAGTGCCTTGTAGTTGCAGAAGGATTTCCTCCTGATTTCAGGAAGGCTCATGGATTTGCTGTCCATGGGATAGGAAAACCTATGGCTGGCTAAGGGCTGGATTCTTCTTTGGTAGCTATTTGCATCGCTATTTGCTTAATAAAAGATGCCCCATGTCCAGCATGCTACATTTCAGCCCAGAGCAAATACTTCTGATCAAGTGAGGCAGGATGGAAATTTTGACAGGCTCTACTCTAACCAGTACAACTGTGCGCTGCTATAATGAGCAACAGGCAATGCAAATGTCAAATCACCACAATCTGTTTTTGTCAACTTTAGTGCAATTTAATAGGCAAACTTCTTCTCCTCCCCTGTGGGTATTAGGAAATTGTCTATTTTTTTTCTTACTGCTAACATAGAAGAATAGCTGTAGATCAAAAAGGAGTAATACCATTTAAATATTGATTGCACTAAGCTATCCCTACAGGAAGAAAAAAAAAGAACAGAAAAGAAAAGAAATAAAAGGAAAGAATGAATAAACAGATGAAAATGCAGATGTTGCAAAAAAGCTTCATTTTTTTTTATGAATTTCTCCAAGATAATATGTATTGTTGCTTGGTCTCCAAATAGATCTGTGCCTTAAATGCTGGCGGTTTTGATGCCTGAAATTTTGTTAGTAAGTTTATTCTCCGTTAATTTGTTAGAGCCTATTAGCATAGTTTTATTGCACCTTTTTCCTCCTCATAAAAACACTGAGTAGGATTGAATTCGAGTGGCAGGAAATGAAAAGTTGGCTGGAGGAGAAGAAGATACAGAATGAAATGCTGAGAACAGGGCCAGAAGTTCGAATGCTGACAAAAAAGGGAAGTAGCATATGTGCTGGCAGCCGCGTGGAGAATTAACTTAGCAGCTTTCAGTGCTGCTAGAAGCACTGAATTCTTCTAGAAACAGGAGCCCTAGTTGCTCAACAGTGTGTGGACAGAGGTGCCTCCAGACTGACGGACAAGGAGCACGAGGATCTCATAGAGACAGTATATGAACAGACATATGTGGGTACGTGGTTGTATCACATCAGGAAGATTGGAGACCAAGTGGAAGAAATCCCTTAGAACAGGAGGAGGATGGTCTTCTTTGCCCTACTCAGTCTTACCTCCTCTTTCGTACATGACATTTCTCCATATCCAGCTTAGCAAACTTTCTGCCTTTTTACATCCTGCAAAAGGCAAGCAGAGAGGACAATGACGAGTGGAAACCATCCTCAGATTCTGGAGAAAGATAACCTGCAGCCGCTTCCCCCGTGCCTCACGTCCTTCGGCCCTGAGCCCGTCTAGACCAGGAGGAACCACAAACTCTGCCCCGCTGCCAAGGACTGGCACGGAAAACTCTCACGTCACTAGCAAGTGTTTTATCTGTATCTGCCTGACTTCACCTGTTTTCAGGCAGATGATTGTGATAGATACATAACGCTGAAAGGAAGGTGTTTTCTCTGTTTAAAAAAAGAAAAAAAGAAAAACCCTTTACTGATGATAATTTTTGTGACTAAAAACTGAATGATTGAATAAGTGACTGAATAAGCATGGAAATGCTTTTTAACCGATGCCAGCCTATTTCTGGGTACTTGCTATCTTTGCTGTAACAAACTCCACTCAGTTTTATTGTGCCTCCTTTCTAGCCCCATATATAGGGCAGGCAGGCTCAACCAGCCTCAGGTCCCAGGCTGTTATGTGTAGAAGAAAAGCCTGGAAATATGATCCACCAAAAAAGCCCCACACCCTTGCTATGGAAACTCATTCCAGAGCATGGGCTGCGAGACCTGCCAGTGAAAGAATAACAGAAGCAGAAGGGGCAAATGTATGTTTTAAGCTGACAGGGCATATGGTTTAGTCTTGGTGCATCAAGACAAATTGGGACACAAGTCAGTGTGTAGCGGAGTGCCATTAATGCCCAGCACGGGGTGCACAACCTGTTCCACAGCCCGGGCTCGCGCAGAGCTCTGTTCCCTGTGCTTCTGTCTGCTCCTGGAAAAATAGCTGCTCCTCTGTCAGAAAGCCAGCGCCGGCAATACAGGCACGTGCTTTTTTTCCCCTAGCTATCTACTTGTTTAGATCCTCTGAGATACTAAAAATTTTGAATTTGTAACGAGACAGCCACAAATGTACCATAAAACTATTTGGGACCACAAGCAGCAAAAATCTACCTTTTACTATTTTTTTTTACACATCAGAAACAACAAACCTAGTTCTACTGTGCAGTTTAAATAGATTATAATGAGTCCAGAGGCTCTGACACTTTGTCCTCTCAAGGAAAGATGTTTTCAAATTGATCTAAACGAAATGTGTTTTAGTATGCAAAGGAAAATAACATCTGGGGGACACTAAGTAAAACTGTGATAGACAGTTTTCAGCTGTAATGGATTTCAGTGAGTGTGAGTTTTATATGCCTAGTCATGTAACAAACTACATTTTAGCTCACCAGCTATCAGAAAATAATAGGGAAATATTAAGAAAATAATAATGAAATAAAAATAATAAATAATAGTAATAGGGAGATAATAGGAAAGAGGCTAAGGCAGATATCATAAAGAGAATATTTTCAGATGCTGTCAGTGCTATTAGTTACAACAATTGCATTTTCCTTTGCTCTGCCATTTTCATAAAGGATCTGTTTGTGGGAATGGCCAGAAGCAGAATGATCCCTTAAACACAAAGCTAATATAAGCTAACATTATTTTACTGGAAAATCACAGTTTGTTTTGCACGATGCCTCAGGACAATACCATACCAACTCTTCTCAGACAACACTTTCTCTAACTTCCATGGGCAGCTTAGACGGCTAAAATCCGAAACTGAAAAAGCTTCATTAAGCAAGAGACAGCATCCAGTAAAAAGACAATTTTTTTTCTCCTACTATACGATGACTTTGGTGTTGCTTAACCCTTTACCAGTAAACCAGTAAAGCTATTTTTGAATAGGAGATTGCAGGGAAAATCCCAGCTGCTGCAAGAAGTTGCGGGAGTCAGTAGGTGGCATATTTTCCTCTGAGTCAGTCCGTCCCACCTCCACAGTTTTGCTGGGAGTGCTGCCTTTCTGCCTGGGCTTGCACCAGTTCGGACCATTCTCATGGTCCCGGGGCCTGACCTAGCCCTAGTGCTCAGGGGCACTTCTGCCACGACGGCTCTTTCCTTATGTATTAGTAGAAGCAAAGATTTTGTCCAAAGTTGACATATATGTTCTGAACTTCATGGTTGCTACTGAGTTTCTGACATTACTTTGGAATAATTCCTCTAATTCTGAATCAGTGGCTGCATAGATTTCAGATTGAGAATTTGATAAAACTCTTAGACTGACCCCAACCAAGAATCTAAATATTTAGGATCTGTAAATACAGTTTTGATTTTCTCTAGTAATAATACAGCACAGAATAGACCCTTAGCATGATTTAAAAAGTAACATGCTATGTGCTTGGAAACAGAATAGCATAGATAATAAAACCTCACATCTGCTTTCTTCATGTGCCACACAAATAAATAGGATACTCAGGAGCTACAGTCTAATTCATATTAATAAAAATGAAATTTAATCATTATATGTCAGATTTCAGATGGTAAGATTTGAGGAGGTACAAACTGACTATGCTTGAATTCAGGGTTTTACTCAACATACTTTTCAAAAATGGAGTATATTATTTCTGAATTCTGATGGAACCAACTTTTTCTTCTCGTTTGTTACTATTAAATAAGGTAAATGTAAATTTAATTAATTTCTTTCAAGCTGACTAACATCTACAATAGCAACAACCTTCTTCAAAATAATGATTGCAGAGTGCATACTTGTCAATGTTATCATGGGACAAACCGTATCAGAGCCTTAAATGCAGAAAATATTATATTTTTTAAAAACAAACAAAAGCATTTCTATTATTGTTCAATAACGAAAACTACAAACTAAATGTATCTGCATTGCCAGGAAGTCTTTGTTCAGCGTTAATGTTCTACATATGATGTTCCAAAGACATAAGAAAGGGATAGTTCATAGAGAGGGAAATATAAATGAGAGATATTCAGATGTTCAATGCACACAAGGCCAGAGCTTTTTTTCCCGTATAACACCAGATCTAATAACATTTATTTCTTCTGCCTACTGATTGTTTCAAATGTGGTATAACTGCTGCCATCTAAATATCACATTCTATATGCTAATCATTGTTAAAAATGGAGCTAATCTATCCTGCAAAAAGCAGGAAAAATACATGTATGTTTCAGATTACCCACTTTTTTTTTTCAGACTGATGTTGGCAGAGGCAGGTGTTGTTGAAATACTTAATGTCAGAAGTGCAGATAAATCTAAATTTTGTCAAGGTGCCATGGAAGAAGCAGTAAGAAAAGATACTGAAGTCAATACCACCCAGGAAGAGCTAGAGCTTCACATCTTATCCAGGAAGTCTAATGGAGTTCTCCACCCTGTAGATCTCTATGAGTACACAAGTTGCCTCCGGCTGAGAGCAGGCAATCCAGGTTATGGTCCTGGAGGACAAAATAAAAATTCCAATTGATTTCTATTTTAGACTAACAAAAACAATGGGACAAGTAATGCCTATAATTGTACTCTTTGATGCTCCGATCTTTAAGAATAAGTTAGGCTCAGATCTACCCCTTTATGTAGGTATTACCATTTATAAGCCTGGGTCAGGAGCAGGTTTCACTCGTCTCCTATAAGCTTGGACTTCAGCAGTCATTGCACCTTGCTCACTTCTTGGGATCAGCCTCGAGGGTTGAGTTTTACCTCAGAAAGAGTTTCATTCCCCTTCCCTCCCTGCCACCCCGCTCTTCCTGCAATCAGCTTGGCCAAGGTTCTCCTCAGTCTACCCAGCAGAGCCCATGGCTCACGCATGGCCTTAAACAGCATGAGTAGAGTCTGTGCTTTTCCTCAGAAAAGGAGAAGCTGAGGGAAGCTCAGACAGCCAAGGCAAAGGCTTGCAGGACACATAAAATGTGTCATTCATGATTCAAACGTATTTGATTCAGTCACAGTGAGTTTCGTCAGTGTGCTCCTCAGGGTGGAAATGGTAAGAGAAGGAGATGTTGGCTCATATAGTCAATAGATTTTTCTCTTAAAGTGGTGAAGTACAGAGCTGGCCATAAACGGTCAGAGGAAAGTACTGAAGTGAAAGGGCTGTGCAGACACCTCTACCCATGCGGTAAAAGTCTCACAAAGGTCAAAAGTCTTCATCACGTACAGGAAAGCCTCTCAGTGGAATCTCTAAAGACCATATAGGCAACCCACAGGAAATCTGCAGAGAAAGGGAGATATATGATATACACTATTTGGTTAAATTCTTTCCTGTTTTATTTTTATTTGAAAGGGAAATTTTAGGAAAATCAATTTCAGGGAATATCTTTTCAGGGGGGAAAAGCTGAGCAGCAGCTATACATTTAGCAGAGATCAGCTGTATCTGTATCACCATGCATGCATGCCAAAGCTCATCAGCCTCCTTACGGGTAATTTCTAGATTGCCCATAAAGCTGTACTTAAAGCATCTGGGGCTGCAAAGGATCCCTACCTACATCCCCAGGAAATGCACCATACCATATACCATACATACCATAAGAGAAAATGGTGGCCCAGCCATTTGACTGAATTAGACTCCATTACTGGATGTTGAACTGTACTTACATTGCACGTGGAAATGAAAGTCTCAAAACTGGTTTCAGGTGTTGTGTAGGGGGGGGTTGTGAAGCAGAAAAGGGAGCTTGCATAACTGTGGTAAGGAATGACTTCTGTTGCCCACCTTCTCTCTTCTTGATGACTTGGGAGAAAAGTCTTCAAGCAGCCCCTAAGGTTTCATGTTGTTAGAGCTGGGGAGGACAGTGCGTGCTGATATCACTGTCCCTGACCACAGAGGAAATCCACTTGATTCTGACTCATAGCTGCTGCTGCAAATCTATTTCAGAAATCTGTCCTCACTAGACAGCGTTTTTAAAAAAGTAGCAATAATTAATTTGGTGAGTGTTTAAGCCTGGGAGATTTTTGTGGTTAATGTGATCTTAGGGGAGTTGATATTTCCAGGATGTCATTACTGGAATGCCCCAGCTGCATTTTTAACTGTTAGTGGGTTGGAAGTGTTGTATTTTTACGCCTCTAATTGAGTGCCTTTCACATGGGACTTCATAACCAAGGTGCTAGAGAGTACTCTGGCTTAGAGGCACAGCAGAGAGAGCTCTTATTCATGTACTTAAGCACCCTGCTGGCTCAAGGTAATGTCAGGTATTGCTTTGGAGAACCAAGCTGTAACTACCCAAAGTGTCTCTGATGATACATAGAAAATCAACAAAATGAAGATATCCATTGTGTCTTCATTTTAAGACTATGGATAGTCACTAGGCATGAGTGTATACATGGATCCTGAAAATACCACAGTTTAGGGTGTCAGATCCTAACCAACTATGTCACTGAGCCAAAAATATTGGCATCCATTTGGGTTAAAAAAAAAAAAAAAAGTAAACTTTCCGTACTGAACTCTCATTTTCTGTGACAGGGTTATAAGAACCATGGAAAGAGCAGTTTCCACTTCCAACTCATCTCTCTAAGGCAATGTGCTTGGTTTGGGCTTTGGGAAGATCCACAAAAACCAGATAATACCTTAGAGAAGTGAGAAATATTCTTGTCATTTAATTGCATCACAATCTCTTCCTGAGAAATCTGAAGCGAGAATATGGAAGTGCTATGAAATGTCATAAAATAGTTTTTAATTTAAAAACAAAGCCAGACACTTTATTGTGCTCATTCTTACAGCTTTTTTCTTTAAGCAATGCTAGCGTTCTAGAATTATTTCTCTCTTTTTTTTTTTGTTAAGGAGAGGTAGCCTTGTTTGAAAGACTATTAATTTAAGTCTTGTCAACAAACTGTACATTTAAAAAGCAAACTTGAATGTAATTAAAGGAGTGAATAACAAAATGAATTAGTTAAATTGAATTAAACTATACTGTGGATACTGTTAAATTACCCACAATGGCCATCAAGGCTTATTCTCTTTTGAAGAGAAATAGCATCTATGTGGGAGTTTAATTTAGTCTAAGCAATCCACTTTAAAGATTAGTAAGTATTAACTTTCCTGAGTCACCTGGCTTGTACAGGCCCACAGCCCTTTTAGAGGTTAGCCTTAACTTAAATAATATTGTGACTTTTTTTGTAGTGACTGTTAAGCTAATTGAGCTGACTCAACTTCTCTCTAAAATTGTTGAGATTTTTACACCCTAAAAAGCTTCCTTAAGAAAGAGTGAAAATGAGAGAGATTTAAACCAAGTTTAAACCAGGTGAGTTTCCCTGTGTGGATCAATATAGCATCCCATGCAGGTGCCACCTCAAAGAGCAAGGACTCATCTCTTCTGCAGGCTACAGATAAAGAAGCAGATGATGACATTGCCAGAGCTCATCTCTTTTTCTTTTTTTTCTTTTTTTTTTTTTTTTTTTGACCTGCCCTGGACCACCTGTTTTCTCCCCTATTTTATTGGAAGTCTCTTTTGAAAAGCTCCCCATTATAAGGAGTTTGCTCATCCCGTCAGAGAGTGCTTGTTCTACACTCTGACATGGGAAACATAAATTCCTAAGGCCAAGTGCAGTGGCTGTGGGCTAGAAAGGGAGAAAGAATTAGTCTTTGGGAAGGATTTTCTGAAGTAACATGCTTCGCAGTAGATTTTCAGGTGAGTAACGAAGAAGGGGAGCAGATTCTAACCCTTGCATATTAAAAGGCTAATTCAAATAAATTTACTTTTTTCTTCCTTGCTGTGCAGGGGTCAGCACACCCTCTTGTTGAAGGAGAATCCTCTGTGGAGGGAAAGCTCTCACAGTATTTGGGCACAGTCCAGTCCTTTCCAACAAGGACAAAACCTATTTCTCAGTTATAGACAGACATTGCAAAATAAAAAAATTGCCTTTTTTTTTTTCAAACACCCAAAGTATAATATTGAAAGCCATCCCACTATCATTGGTAGCATAGAAAGGGGGGAAGAGTGTGTGAGGAGCTCTTGGAGCAGCTGATGAAGAGCGGAGGTCGAGTCGCAAAGGCTACCACGGCCTTCCAAAAGCGAGTTTCAGCAATCTGTGAGGCATCACAGAGGAATGAAAGGAAGTTTCAAAATAGCCTTGCTTTAAATAAAAACATACTTTGGCAACGCTGCATCAAATGAAAACCGATGTGCTTGACCATCGTATTGACACGTTCACCAAACCACTCAGCAGACTGCAAATATCCATGAGGAGCCTGTGCCAAGAGCAGGGGCAGCCAAGCAGATGTGTAGGCCTGCTTGCTTCTGCAGCAGCAGGGACAGGAGTTGTCTGCTAGGCCTAGAGGGGCTGAGAGCTGTCAGGACTGCCTTGGATATCGCCAGCACTGGAGACATCAGCATCTCTTCTCTGTCTGAGGCCTTTTAAGAGAAGGTCTGTCTTTCCTCTTTCTTTGGAGTTGGGAACATGGCTGACGGAAAGCATCATCAGGAGAGCCTTGAAGTGGGAGCACGAGGAATTTTCAGATGGGGAGTGGAACACTACAACATGTCAGTTGCAAGAATTTAATATTATACAAAAGTTAAGCGTGTGTTTGCTGAATGCAAGCATTCCTTGTGAGAGGATGTTTGTGCCTCCAGGAGCTGGGTTCCTAGTGAGATTTTGCATTCTATTGGTTCAAAACACCCTTCTGCAAGAGCCACTTCACGTTCAACCAATGCGTATTTGCGCCAATAAACTTGCTTGCTAAGATATTGCCAGGAGGCAAAACCAACATCTAGTTCTGCCCTGAACAGCCTAAAAATGTGCTCTGTGTCTATTTATACAATGCCTGTGTGCAGGTGCCAAGACACAGCTCAGGGCTCATGAGTTCCACCAGCACGGGAATAATAGATCTGATTACTGTAAACATACTGCAAACAAATGGGCCTAAAAACTTTCAGAGACACAATACAAAGGCCCCATTATTAACACTGGTTTCTAAATGTGGGAGCAAAGACAGCCCGCAAGGGGACTAAGCACCGCAGCGCAGCAGGTATCCAAGCACCGCTGTGAATGCGTTATTAATCATTGCTTGCACTTGTTGGGCTCTGAGTAATGATGAAATGCTACAAGAAATCTTTCAATGGTTCAGTTACAGTAAAATAGAGGCCAGCGTCAAAAACAAAGGGACTGTCAAGAAGCAATGATTTCTTCAGAACACAGTGATATAACCTGCCTAATTCTTGGGCAACTGATGATCCATAACATGTCATCCAGCTCTGTGAACAACACAATAAATAAAATTAGGGCTCCGGGGAAGCTGTACCATCAGCCAAGAAGTCAGGCTTCTTAATGACTGCCTTTTCTTTAAATGTGGGAAATCCATGGGTTAGTTACTTTCTTGGTAGAGTTCTTGCTTAAAAGAAAATAGAGTAGGTTTGTAAAGCAAAGGGAATACAAGCAGGCCAAGGAGAAAAGGAAAAAGAACTCAAAGGGCTGATTCTGATGGGAAAAGTAACCATTTTGAATAGCAGTGATTTTGTTTTTTCTAACAGAAAGGTAAATAGTGCCTTTAGGTAAGTATTAGGAAGACTCAGGTGTTAAAACAGTTATCAAAATACATTATTTTTAGAGAATCATAACATATGTCTTGCCACACATCTAATAAAAGAGGAATTGGGATAAAATAGTAAAAACAGCATTGGAAAAGTACTATGTGCGAACTGAAGACTCTCTGAACAGTGGCACGAGAGACACATGACACGTCAGGGAAAGTGGAAGAGATTCAAAAAGCTCACCTGCCACAAGTTTCCCGTGCGATGCTGAGTGAAATACGTGCTTTCTTTATGTCTCACTGTCTCGTCCTGGTCTTCTTGTCTACTTGTAGTGAAAATGCTCCTGTGCATGGTCTGTGCCTTTCTGGGTAGTTAGTGCTAACCTCTTCCTTAAATTTATTCAGCTGGACATCATTTAGCTTTGGTTACTTATAACTAAAAGAGTTCCCTTTTAAGAGAATCCTCCAGATTTGCGCACAGAGATGGACCTGGACAAGGAGATCTTGGGCTCCCTCACATGTAGGTCACACGTTGTGGACCCCAGCTGTGGATGATGACGAACATGCCCAGTTCTCACCAGAGGAGCTGTTTTTAACAGCTTACCCAGTGCCAGCCACCTCAGGAAGTGCTGCTCTAGGTAACCAAATACCACATTGATTTTGAAGTCTGATTCTGGGTGATTCACAGAAGAATAAAAGGTTGCCCAAACCCTCTATACAGTACAACTGACTAAGATCTGGAAACA